TGAGAAAGCATGCAATGTAGACAGTTCCTGAGGATGGCATATTTTATTTCCATATAATAAGAAGGAGAAACTGTATTTTTGTTCTGTTTATATACCAGATGGTATACCCAGAGGAAACAGACATGGGGAGGGGGGAGCAAGTATACACTTTCAGATTGTTCAATAGAATATTTGAATTACTTCCCACTTAAGGCAACTTCACATTTATGGCTCTTTGTAAAATTTATAAAATGCCTGAAGAAACATTATGTGAACAATGACATGGGTCGGGCTGTAGACCAACAGTGAAATAATCACTTGCGTCGTGTTCACGGAGAAGCATGAACCGCGGCGTAGGTGGCTTCAGCCATTACAGTACATAATTACCACCTCTCCCAACTTTTGAGACCCTGAAGCAGGTAATTGCACCTACCAAATGATTTTAATATTCCTTAGAAGGTAAACAAAAATGCTTTACCAAATAAGGAAGGCATTTTCAGAAAATGGTGAACTAATACACTTTGGCGTGAGAGGGCTATATGTTTAAAGCACGACATATATTTGAGTGTTCAGCAGCAATTTCTTTTGCTTTCAGTACAAACAAAGCTGGGAATATTAAGCTGTGCTGTTTCAGGAATAAGTTAGTTATGCATGTAGCCAGGTTTTATCAGCTACAACTTTTGTTTACTCGTCTTCTATTACTATGATTGGTGAGATTACATCACATGACACAAAACTTTATATATTGATTCTAATGTCGTACTCATCAGTAGCCATAAGTCACACACTTTCCTGTAAAAGTGGAAGCTTGTAAACAATGTGCACAATGAAAAAGCCCTTCCCGGTTGGAAAGTTATTTACTGGCAGATGTCTTCCAAATGACGTGTACTAGTACTAGACACAAAATATCATAAGCTTAAAAGTGCACTAAAATGAAATTTGAAAGACTAGTGTATGGTAGTTAATTTACTCTTTGGCTAGTATTATACTTGGCATAACATAAGAAAATACAATAAGAATAACTGAATGGCAGAAAATGATATTATCCCTTTGAAATTAAAATTAAAAATCTAGATCAGATTTTTATCTTTGGAAAGATACCAACTACAACAAACATCAGCAAGGATTTATCATGGATGGAAGATGGTCTGAAATTCCTATATCTGGAAGTAAAAGGACAACCAACCTATTGGACCTGTATCATTCAAATTCATGATGAATACACAAATTAAATGTTTCTCAAATAAGGAACCAGATGAAAGGGCCTATATAATTCCTAAATATCAAGATGTTTCTAAACCAAAAATAACTGTGACTGGGAGATATTCTTACTCTACTTTCTCCCCCAAATAAGATTATTCGTATAGTGGTATAGTGATTTCCAGTCATATTTTCTCTTCTGTTGGTTCAATACACTCTGAAAACAGGCATCAATACGGAAAAAAATCAATGTTCATTAACTCGTGTTTTCACCCACTTAATACAGCGTGATGGCCCTAAAAACATTTACTTGTAATCTTCACAACTCACTCACCAATAATGAGTCTCAAGTATTTTTGAGGTTAAACAGTTTCATAAAAATCTGCTGTACAGCTGTTAATTATTAATGGCCTATTCTGCTGAAAATTAAAAATAAGGAATCACAATAGATACTCAAAAGGAAGTGTAAACAAAGTCAAGAGGAAGACTCCTGGAATAGCATATTGCTATCAACTGTTATAATTTTAATATAATTTATGAAGATTAACTACTAAGATAGTAATTTCTGTTAAAAAACATATTTTGTTACTATCTTTAGTAAAATAGACTCAACTGTCATTAGTGTTAGCATGAAATATTAATTTTTGGGGAGAGAGTAAGCTTTTCAATTTCATCACTTTTTCCCCTTTGCAATGACTTTTTCCCCTGGTTGAGGGTGTGAGCTCAGCTTATCTTCCCTGTAGAAAGTTGCTATAGCATCATGAGAACAGTTCCTCATAAAACCTTGAAGAAGAGGTTGCAGATCTAAGGAATATCTAAAAACCAACTGTGATATTCAAGCTGAGCTATGTGACAATATTTGAATTGCCAGAAGCAAGTAGATGCCAATCAACACCTTAGAGGACTCTACTTCCTAGCCGCCAAACCAGTGACTTAACAGTTAAACATGCCCACAAGTTTAATACACTCAAAACAGGTGTTAATCATTAATACAAACTTAACTGCAATAAAAATATTTATCGATTGCTGTGCTCTAAATCAGAATTCTTGGTGAATTGCCCAATAAAGTTGTAAATAATAAGCAGATGTTCAAGAAGATATCCTGAAACTAAAAATTATAATTTGGAAAATAAATATTAAAGTAAAAGTGGACTCAAATAAGAGGTGGTCAAATGTTTAATCTTTGCATAGCTAAGAATTTTCTCCAATATAGTACAGCAAAGACCATATTACATTGTAACTTTCTTGTATTTTGAGGGTATGGTTTTCGGTACACATTTTCAGGCAGAGTCGAAGAAAACCCTCTGCACTCTCTAGGAAATGTTGAACTGCTGAGCTAATCTCCCACACAGGAAAGTTATCTCATTGAGGTACCCTGTACAGTCATTTTTCATTTGTTTCTATTTTTATCTGTGTGTGCATATAGAGGCTGGAGGTTGACACAGGGCACTTTTCTCTATTGTTTCCACTTATTTCTTTGAGGCAGTCTCTCACTCTGCTAAGAACTCACAGTCTGCCTAGAGCCAGTGAAGTCTGTGGATTGGCCTGTCTTCAAATCCCAGAGGAGCAATAACACTTGTCACACTCAGGTTTTCTGTGGGTGCTGGGACCCGAACTGCTTTCATGTTTGATGGGCAGGCACTATACCAAATGAGTTCTCTCTCTCTATAGTCCTAGAGTCTAGTTTCTTATCTCTATTGTATGACCTCAACACTGAAGATAAAATCATTGAGGAAGATCATTTCTACATGGTAAAAAGGTTTACAGTATTTACTTGAGGTGAAAATGTTTTAGAACTACCAGAGATATTTTGCACAGAAAACAGAAAGCTCATCAAAGGCATTTTGTGAGAAAACACTCGGGCTTCATCAAATAGTAGGGGAGTTTCAAATGAGCACTCCAACTGCTCTTAAATCAGGCATATTATTACATAAGCAAGGTGATAAATAACCAAACTCAGTGGAACTCTTAGAAGGGTGTGCCCTGGGGGCCAGGATTTCAACAATCATAATTAATACTACATGTAAATGAAATTGTCAAACAAAAAATTCAATGAAAATATAGTACATCTAAATCATGCAACAAGTTATCAAAACCTTTAATTGCATATGTGTGTTAATTATGGTTGTTAGAGCCTTACCTGCACACTTTGTTCTGGTGATCAGTGGAGGTCCTGGGAGCCCAGTGCCCCCTTCACCAGGCCTTGTGAGCAAAACACGGATCTCGTATTCTGTATCTGGGTCTAAATGCCACAACTTGTATGTTGGAGCATTGACAGCATGGGTTTCTGTCCAAGATCCTGAGGTCATTCGATACTCTACTTCTTTCAGGATAATGGGGCCATCGCCAATGATGGAGTTTGCATTTAGTTGGATCAGCAAGTAAGTAGGTCCAACGCCAAGCAGCTGGGGAGGAGCAATTGGTCTTGGAGGTTCTAGAAAAGACAGGTATGTGCATACTTTAGTTAGATGTGAATCTAAACTCTAAAACAGAGACATATTAAAAGTAACATATATTCTAAGTAAAGATGTTCCATATACTATCCATATGTGACCAAGAAGGCAGTGATGCAGCAACAGTGTTTTAAAGAGCCATTGGTTTTATGAACGCTTTTGTTCAATTTAGCAGAATATTCTTCTTCTTCAAAACATGCATTTCCAGGGGAGAAAGTAGCAGTAAGCAGGGATCTAAAGAAAAGCACTGGAGAGGATCAGGTCTCATCAGACTCAGAGGGAGGTGGGCTCTAATATTTCCTGCCCATTATTTATTTTTGCTTCTGCTCTTACTTTACTTCTTGCAGCTTCAAAGTTGCAGCAGATGAGCTAACCAGGAGGCTCAGTAAGCTAGGAGGGAAGCTGGTGCCATACACCGACCTCACATAGTAGGAAATTGAAATTTACTCCGAGAAGAAATCCCCCATTGTTATATATCACTGACCCGTGCAGTAGCATGAGATAGGCAATATGTCACTTATTAAGCTCAAATGTCAAAGGGACACTGCAATTTAATTTTGGTTGGCTTACGATATTTTGCTTGACAGAAACTTTGGAAAATATTATTTCAACATCTGAACTTACAGCATGATGAATAATGTATTAGAGCAGGTTTTCCCTAATGGCAATGCTGGTGAAAGACTGGGCTGTCTCTGGGGGAGTCCACAGAGCTTGCTCTGTCTGCCCGCCTTCCCACTGAAATACAGAGCATTGGCGTCTCCTTAGTAATTGTCATCAGCTGGTGTTTCCCTTCAACTTCTGGACCATTCTCACACTTCTCAGGGAGTTGAAAGGTTTTAAAAGAAAGTACTAATGTTAATAAGGTGATAATCGTCCCAAAATTGATTTAAGAATTAATGCTGCAGTGTCACAGGAAATCATAGGGAGGACAGCTATTACCATTACCACACAGTGCTCCAAGTTGGAGCGGCCTGAAAAAAGGTGCAAGTCAAGACTACACAGACAATAACCTTTGAACTTTTAATGACAATATGTTATGTGGGGTAGGGACTCCAAAGAAAGGGTCTCAGGAGCCAAGGCAAGTTTAAATGAATCAAGAATTTTCAGGAAGGGCCCAACATTTGGGTTTTATTTATGATTTTCAAAAGGTTACTAACTTAAAAATCCTCTGAATCAAAATTCCCACAAAACTAGGTCAAGGCTATCTGGCCTGGATCTCTAGATAGACTAAAGTTTTGAGACTACAACTTCAAAGTTTATGAGACTAAAAACACATAGCATATTTACCAACTACTAATGACAAGGCTCTGTACAATGGGTATTCACATAATGTGGAGGAGACATTTGTATTTTTAAATGGGAGTTGAATATAAGAGAAACAGTTTACAGAAGACATGAGGAATGTTTCCCTATTGGAAATAACTATGAATCTAAGTAGTCTCCTCTTGCATGGGCCATTACAGAAATAGCTTCCAGACTGGCTGTCAAAGAATAATGTAATCTGTGATTTACCATCCTCGTGTGTAAAGTGAGAACAGCCCTACTCCTGTGTGTTATATGTGTCATAGACATCCAGCACTATGTCTACAGAAAGAAGTTCCTAATACCTGCTCTCCAAACTCTCCACATACATGTCTCTTCTAATGGTTTGGAAAAAAAATTACCAGAATGGCTGCCATTTTGTCCTTAGTGAACAATGTATGGCCTGTTCCACAAATGAACTTCAGAAATGAAGTTCATCTCAAAAGGAAACACTTGAACCATACCAACATTTTAGAGTTCTCATTCATCCGATAAAATAGGATGGATGCTGATTTTCATCCCAACAAAACGTACCAATTGTTAGCCTCACAACTTGAAGCTCAGCGCTTACAAAACTTTAATAGATGGGAAGACAGAAAGGGAATGCAATCTCTGCATGCTAAGCTGAAATGGAATCAAGAGAAGAACATCCTAGGAAATGCCAATGTCTCTCAAGCATTCTAATTATTGATAGAATGGCCTGCTTCACTGCCTGCATGCCTGTTTTCATTCCGATGGCTCATCTACTGACCAATTTCTGTTACGGTAGGAAACCAAGTTAAATTTACAGCTCACAGAGACTCTCCCACCAAGCAACAATGTCTCATCATTTCAATGCTCACCAGTGACCCCATGAGGTGTGATACTTAACAAAGAGGAAAAAAATATAGATTATAAATTGCAAACCTTACTTCAACTGCCAATGTATAGATATTGTAATGCCTAGCCTCATGTGTGTGCCTGTCCACATTCACCAGAGAAAACAAACAATGCAAGTGGAAAGAAGATAGAACAAGAGGTAAAGGGCTGAGGGATAGGGGCAAAGCCAGCATAAACCAACCAGTATTAGAAACAAACATAGGCTTTCTTTCATTTGTGTTTGAAACAATAACATACAAAACTGAAATCTGGAGCCAGGAGGCCAACTTTCAAAAATAAAATTCATCGAAGCAATGACAAGATCAACTTGAGTGCATGATTTAACTTTGCACAGAATCTTTTCACAACTATCACGGAGAGTCTAAGAAACTAAATTTCCTAAAAGTATCATGAGCAAGCTGTCTGTGTGATGCTATTTGCTTTATTTTAGATTTTTGTTTGACGGCCTGATGCCCCCCCCCTCAAAAAAAAAAAAACCTTAAATTCAGTGATTGATATTGAATCTAGTGGCATGTATAAGGGAAGACATGAGTTTGATGTATTGTGTGCCTGGCCTGAGGAATGGCAACATTCCTGATTAGTTTGATGCCATTGTTATGGTCAGACTAAACTAAAACAGTCAGTAATCAAAGCCAGAGCTCAAGCTGGAACTGTCACAAAATGCAAAGAAGGTAAGAAGTATACACACTGGTTAGCAGCACAATTATAAGTGAAACTCACATTAAGGAGACTAATATCCCACTACATATTAAACTTTTGATGTTGGCGGTAAAAAGAAAACTTATATTAGCATATGTATTTTGTTTTTAGACCCCAGAGAACAAGGAGATTTATTTATAAAATCTCTATTCATTTCAATAAATTATGCATGAATTTTAATCAGTTAGCAAATGAACAAGTAATTGTTTTGCAGCAATGCTAATATTCTTCATAACTTAATATGCTACTAGACCCAGAGGTGTGGTGCAAATAAATCCCAAATGTACACTAGGTATCAAGTGATGCATGCAATCCTCAAAATACAAGATAAACTTTGCCAACGCTCCCAATTAACTTTCCATTAATGACTTACATTCATTATTCTGCAGCCAAACTATGATGAGAAAATCCCAATTATATATTCAGCCTCCTTTACTTGTTTAATATTTGAAATAATGTTTAAATGTGTGAAATCAAGTAAGCCACTATGGAAGGATGGTCGCCACTCAATTATTCCTATTACAATGGTTTTTAAAAATATATGTCAGTTATCAAAATCCAGCCAATCAATAAAATGCAAAATTGGAAAAAAAGAAGCCAGAAAGCCAGAAAATGTCAGTAACAAAGTAAATGCCAAGGCAAAAGATACTTCCATGTATGTCCATCTTTGTAATAAGATAAATTAATGCTATCAGCTTCCCCATTGTTTTATTTCTTTGTCAAGGAGATAGCATCAAAAGGAGCCCTAGGTTAGTATCTCCACTGTAAAAGCTGTTGCTGCATCACAACAGTGGCCTCTGTCCACTGTGACAAACCCTGACAAACTCAATGTATTCAATAAAACTCAGCCTCTAACAGTTCTTGAAACCAGAAAATTGAAATTAGTATGAGAGGACAGGTGAGAAACATGGTATCAGGAAGTTTACTACCTCACATAGAGTCTAGATAAAACTTGGTTACATGTTTGTTCCACCTCTGGGAGCTGCTGGAGGTATGGACCTTCAGCACATTCCTGCAGTGGCTGCAGTGTTATGTGGGTTCCTCGTTCATTTCTGTTCTACACAAAGTCAAATAACCCTCTATTGTCCGCTAGTATAGACAATTGGGTTTTCCTTGGGAGCCATGTGAAAGATGCCAGGCCACATGACCATTTCAAATTCCTTAATATAACCATGTATACAAAACTGCTTTACCACTGGCAGACCCATACCTATGTAAAATAGTAAATTTAGAAGGCATTTTTCAGTTGACTACAGACACAGAAAGTGGTTTCCTCCCTCCTGGGAGATGGTTCGTTTCTCCTACTCCAAGTGGCTAAGAAGGTTGGAAACTGAAGTATTTTACCTGAGAAAATTTTATAGCTATGTTGGGAGTAGTGGAAAGTATAGAAAGTTACTTAAACTACACCAGTATATTATTTTACCTAGTTAATTTCTTTCAATGGAAACAAAATCAGAGCAGATGACTTTTTTCATTTAAAGATAGATTTATTTATTTATTTATTATTTATCTAGTTAGTTAGTTAGTTAGTTAGTTAGTTAGTTAGTTATTATGTGTGCAGTGTTCTACATGTATCCCTGCAGGCCAGAAGAGGGCACTGATCTCATTACAGATGGTTATGAGCCATCATGTGGTTGCTGGGAGTTGAACTCAGGACTTGTGGAAGACAAGGTAGCGTTCTTAACCACTAAGCCATCTCTCTATCCCCAAGGTTTCTTTGTATACTCCTGGCTGTCCTGAAATTAGCTCTGTAGACCAGGCTGGCCTGAAACTCATAGAGATCTGCCTGCCTCTGCCTCCCAAGTTCTGGGATAAAAGGCCTGTGCCACCACCACCAGATAAGAGGAGACAGTTACTACAGGACTTTTGCTACCATTACCCTTTGCCATATGTAAACTCCCATAAAATTCAACATAAGAATATTTTACATAGAGACAGCCTTTTTAAAAAAATTTCCTAACAGTTGATGAAATGAAACGTTCACTTGAAAGTCAATTCCATTTTCTTGATTCATTATTCCTTTCTGAAATGTTAATCCAGTTCTGATTTTTGCTAAATGATAGATTCACTATGTTTATGTTTGCTACTGTACCTCTCTATG